CTCAGTGGTAGAGCCATTGCTCAGCAGGCAGGAGGCCCTATGTTCAATGCCTAACACAGAAAAAAATGTATATTGTTAACAGTAATGTACTCAAATTGGTTTCTTAATTTGACAGTTATACCTGGGAATGTGTGAGAACATTGGGAATATTGAAATTGGCTGGAGGGTTATGCAGAACTCTCCATACTATTTTTGCAAATTTTCTGTAAAAATATTATTCCAAAGTAAATAAATTTTTATTTTAAACTTTTACATTCATATTTTCATTTTTCCGAGATGGTGAGCTGATGATATTAGGACTTTGGTCCAATTCTTTTCACTGAAAGTCTCATCTGATTAAAAAAAAGCTATTCTATGCTGCTGTAAACCAGCATGTTTATTTTTCTCTTTGGCCTGACAATCAAGAAAAATAAATGGCTTGGGGACATTTTAATCAGACAGGGCAAGCGAGTGGGCTGTGTTTCTGGAAAATGGCTGTATGTGTTCTTCCTGGCGGCTGGAGCCATAACTGCAGCAGCAGCTGCTTTCTATGGTGGTGATGCCGTCTCTTTCAAGGAGCAAAGATATCTGGAGCCTGTACTACGATGAGCGAGGAGGCAGAAGCACCTTGCCCGGTTGCATTTTGAGATCCTTTTCTCCCCCAACAGCCTTCAGAACGATCTTGCTAGTTGTCCGAACGCTATTAAAATGATAAAGATGTTGTAGGCCACAGAGAATAACAGCTCGCGAAGGATTCCAATTCACAATGAGAAAGGAAAACAGAAACAGATTTTTTAACATGGGGCCAAATTTTCTGACCCCACTGTTCAAGGAGCTCCAACTCCAGGTTTCTAAGTAGGAGAGATTTTGCTTCTTTTCCATCCTGCAGGAGGAGGAAGGATCTTACTATAGACTGAATTGTACCCCCCAGATTCTTGAAGATCTAGCCCCCCAGGCAATGGTGTTGATAATGGGGCCTTGGACGAGGTTAAGTTAAGGTTAAGGTTAAGAGTAGACCAGTCCAAAAATAAATTAGACTTCAAAATAAATTGGTCTCCCCCCAAAAAAGAGTAGACCAGTCCATAGAACTGCACCCTTATAAGAAGAGGAAGAGACCCCAGAGCTCTCACCAGCCACAAGGTGAGACATGCACATGTCAGGAAGAGAGACCTCACCCAAAACCAGCCCTGCCCAACCTTGATCCAAGACTTTCAGCCTCTAGAAAGATCATTCTTTCATGTTCACCTCATCAACCCAGCCTGGGTTAGTAGGCTATGATGGCCCAAGCAAACTGAGATAGCTTTTTCTCTCTTTTGCTTTTCCTTTTATCACAAAAAGAGAAGAATCTTATGGATAAAACTCAGAATTAGGCCATTTTGAACAACCAAGTTCCTCTGGCAATTTTAGTCTCAAGAGTGGCCTTTGGGGAGGGAACAAAGGAGAGTGAAAAGGCAGCAGGAAGAAAGAGGCAGCATCATCTCTCCTGGGTTCCTTTCAAGCTCTCAGTCACAAAGGCAGAGTTTAGCAGGTTAGAACCCTTCATTCCTAATTTGGGATGGTGGCACACGCCTAATCCCTGCACTCAGGAGGCTGAGGCAGAACGATCGCCACAAGTTCAAGGGCAGCCTGGGGTACATAGTGTGAGATCAAGATGAGCCTGAACTATATAAGCAAGACCCTGTCTCGAAAACCAAAAATAAAAAAAAAAGAAGAACCCTAAATTTCTGATAATGAGGTGAAGGAGGAGGAGGGGGAGGAGGAAGACTGGTGTTTAGAATCCTTCCTCTTGTTTTAAAAAACTTTATTAATTAAATGACCTGGAGTTTCTTCCGGGGTCCTTAAAAAGCATCCAAAAGTGAACGAACACAATTTCTTTAGGCTTTTCCTCATTGCAGAGGCCTCTCAAGGCTTTCCTTGGGAATTGCATGAGATAATGGATGCAAAAGTGTTTTGTAAAATACAAAGCATTCCATGCATGCAAGCTATTATTGGAAGGAAGCAGAAGGATGAATCTCAATCCCAAGATCCCCTGAAATATGTGCAAAAGGTGCTCCGTTTGGATTGTCACCCTCACCAAGCCTTTACAGACCATTTAGCATTTTGTCCGAGTGCTCACACTCATCCCCTTGGTGACATCCCTGCCCTAAGCCTGGGAGGGCAGGGAGAGGCTGACTCTCCGAAGCCTGGCCCTGTGGACAGCAGCGCCTGCAGAAGAAGGGGCTCGGTTGCTAGGAGACCAGCAAAAGTGGGCAGCTAGCTCCCAAGCAGGTTAGAATCCGGAGAGGAAGGATTTTAAAAGCCTATTTCCATCTGCTTGAGCTAGAATTGAAATTCTCTTCAGGGTCCAGCCACCAGTGATACAATCTGCTTACATTACTGGTATTGAGAGGCCCTTGAAAGGATCTATTTGTCCATTTCTAATATGTCCCTCCCACAGTGCCTAGAAAAAGCAGGCACTTAAGAAAAAAAGGAAGACTTGATGGAGTCCATAGCAGAAGTAGCGATGTGACAGCAAGAATTAACCCAAGCACATTTGATCACAACCCTTAGACCCTAAAGAGGAAATAATTGCGTTCAAACTATGTTAAATAACTGTGCACTTTCCATAGCTCCTAAGTGCATCAGGGCAGGTGGGGAGCACGTTTCCAGTCCATGAGAGGTGTGTCAAGCTGCTCTTTTCCTTCAGAGCTCATCTTCACAGACACAGCCCGACACGTACTTCTGGGCTAATTGGGATGAGGCTGACGCTGTATTTAAGGATTATGAAAAGAACGTGATTTTCAAATAAGAATTGTTTCATTTTGTTTTCCCAAACCATGCAGTACACCCAAGAGATCAAATGCTTTTTTTTTTCTTTCTTTTTTGAGCCCTTAGCAAGATATACAGACGCTTACAACTGCCTAGAACAGAGTATTGAACTCAGGAGGAATCAGCTGGAAAAACAGTGGAATAATAGGTGCATTTAGTCATTTATGGACTGAGGCTTGACAGGCTTTGTGCCCTGTTACTGCTGGCGCATTGAGAGCAGAGAGGGAGTGCTGATTCATCAGGAAGAAAGAAGCTCGATCATAGGAAAATAAACCATCTCTGAAAGGGTTCCAGTGCGCCCAGCAGCCACGCTTTATTTGGCTAAAGTGTAATGCCTAATGACAAAAGGGAACGGGCATTTCAGTATTTATGGGGACACCCTGGCTTCCAGCCTGCTTTCACAGGAAGCTGGAGTGTGGGGGAGGGACTACAAAGGAGGGATAGTAATTGATCGAGACAAGAACAATTCAAGAAAATACAGGAAATGAATAGGGCAGTGCCTTTTCTCCTGGAGATGAAGATGAGGGTAGACCTGAAAGCTGAGAATTCGTGTACATGGAAGAAAAACCCTTCATTGGCTGTGAGTGGGATGCGTGAGGACGCACGATGAGTGGATGCCACGAACTGCAGCAACGTAGGGAGATGAAGTACCAGGACAAGACGCGTGTGGAGGAGAGACAACTGTATCCCATGTATGCCTCTGCGTCAAGCTCATTGAATGAGGTGGTGGGCAAGCTCTAGAGCTATTTTCTGCTCTTCCTCCAACTGCAAAAAGCTGCATTGTGCATGGAGAGTTATTTTGGTGAGGACGATAATCATGAAGAACTTTGGGATCATACAGATCTGGATTCAAATCTGGACTCTGTTGTTGACTAGTGTGCGTCCTCGGACCAGGCATTTATTTAATTCTCTGAGTCTCACTTTTCTCAAGGGTGACACAAGGGTGATGAAAATGTCTATATAGCTTTCATCTGGCGCAACAGCATATTGAAAAAGCCCAGCTCCACCTGACTTCTTACCTTGTGTTCCTGCTCCAGGTTGAAGTAGGCAGAAGTGTTCTGAATGAGGACTTTGAGGGAAGAGTTGCGGCCCCATGATTCGTAGCTTTCCCTGAGACCAGCGTGTAAGGGGGACACTGCTCCAAAGGGAACCCTGCCTGGGAGGTGAAGATCTGATCCAAGCAAGACAGCTTGTAAGGAATTTTTGAATACTTAAATTGAGGATTGGATGAAATAGCTTCTTCAGAAGCTGTGCTAAAGTGTCAGTAGCTGAGCAGTTTCAACAGCACATCACCTGGGATTCGGGTCACATTACAGCGTGGTCCACATCTAAGAGGAGACTCAGGGGCTTGGCATCAGTGGTCTCCCCAAGGTCTCTTAATGCCAGGTGTTGTGGCTTCAATCTGGAATGTCCCCCAAAAGCCCCATGAGCTCACAGGTGGGGCTTTTGGAATTTGATTGGATTATGGGGGACATAGCAGATTTGCTGTTAGAGGCAGGGTCTGCTTGGAAGAGATGAGTCATGAGGGCTGTGGCCTGGAAATGTTTATCTCCCTTCTGGACTCCTCCCTTTTCTCTCTGCTTCTTGGTTAACTTGATCGGAGCATCTTTGCTCTGCCCAACCCCTTCTATCATGCCACCAACTATGCAAGGATGGAGACTTTTTTTTTGGTACCCGGGATTGAACTCAGGACCTTGCGCTTGCTAGGCAGATGTGGTGACACTGAGCTAAATGCCTGACCCTTCAGAGGCTTCTGATTCTGAGCCAAAACAAACCTCTCCTTTTAGTTGGGGGTATCAGGTATTTTGTTTCAATGAGAAGAAACTGTCTAAAACCAAGGCCACCTAAATATTTCCACTGTCCCTGGGTATCAAAGGGCAAACTTAGTGCTGCTTTCTAGGCACTGGAACCCATAGAGCCAAGTTCCTCCTTCTCTTTCTTCATGAAGGAATGTGATTCTGTAGGCCTGGGTCCTCCCCTCAAGATTTGACTTTGGAAACACTGGGCCCCTTGGCAAGATGGATGAAGTAGAGCGGGTTCTAGCTCTCAATAAATGCTGCATTCAGGCATGGTTAGCAGGTAGGCCTTCAGCTCACTTGTTTATTTTTCAAATCTGTTTTCCTTTCAAGCAACACCAGGACCCCAGCAGGAGCCACTGAGTTTAAGTGGGAAGGGCCCGGAGCTGGGCTGAGTAACATGCTAATTGAGAAGCCATGAAAGGAGGCAGCCCCTTGGCTTTCTGCTCCCTGCAGGGCAGTGTGGGTCCTTACTGGGTCATCTGGGCACCAGGAGAGGAGCAGCCTAAGAAGTCCCCAAGACAGATAGCAGTTGCAGGCCTAGGTACGGATTGCAAAGGCAGCAGCCCAGGTCTTTCGGACTCAGGCATCTACACTAGGCAAAATCTAGCCACTGACCAATTGCTGGAGGTGTTTCTGGGAATAATCTGTCAGTTCCTCTCCTCTGCCCCAGCATGGACCTTCCTAACCCTGGCCATGTGGAAGGGAGCAGATTGCCAGACAGATTATCGACACACGTCCACCTTTCCATGAGGGTGACTCATTTCTTAGCCTGGGTGGAAACCCAGGAAGGTCACTCTCTCAATTACCCTGAGATTCACCAAATGGTTATATAGGGTCATAAGTCTCCCAGCCACATCAGAAGCTTCACTCCTGCAGTCCCAGAAGCCAAATCTCCTTTCTGTGTTAACTAAATTCATCATATCTTTGTGCCCAAGGAGTTGTGTTCAGATACATGCCCGTGTTCTAGCCTGGACAGGCAGAAAGCTGCCTGGGGGAGCCAATGGACACAGAGGCATTGGGGGCCGAGTTAGTGTGACCTAGAAAGTAAGTCATGGGATTCGTGAACTGTCAGGAGGAGAGCTGAAAGCAGGAGCAAGGATGCCAAATCAAAGTCAGAGCCAGGAGAACTAAGTGGTTCACAGAGGAAATGAACTAGAGAGGGTACCAAAGAAAGGAGAAGAAGCTATCTTTTGCCAAGGCAAGAGGCATGTATCTTCAGAAGAGTCAAAACAGGTGAGACAGGGGTGGAGAAACAGGTTACAGGTGGTGAGGACTAAGAGAGGTTGGGCAGGGAGGAGGCAGTCCTGTCCTCAGATCCTAGGGGCTGAAGCCTGGCAGGTGAGAGGAAGGAAGAGCCTGGGATGCTGCCAGCACCTGGCAGCCATGGGGATTCTCAGCGCATGCTGCAGTAGCCCAGGAACACCCGCCACACCTGAGGTTACCTTTTAAAGAAAAGGGCCTACACCGGTTCTTTCCTTTGTCAGTTGCTACTTACTCCTTGTGCCATGATCTCAATAAAACAACTCTGTGCCCTCACCATAACTGGCTTCTCCAGACAGTGATGCCAAGCGCAAGGAAGCCACCCATGAGCTGCTTGAGATGGTGTGGCATAGACTGTATGCCACAAGAGTAGCAAACCCAGCAGTTATAAGCTGGATTCTGTGCCCTCCCTGCAATTCATATCTGAAGTCATAATCTCTAGCACTTCAGAATGTACCTGTATTTGGTAACAGAGACTGAAAGAGGTGATTATATTACAGTGAAGCGATAAGGGTGGGCTTTCACACACACACACACACACACACACACACACACACACACACACACGATAGAAGGAGAGAGACCTGAGGATATGGTGAGGAGGTAGCCCCCTGAAAGCCAAGGACAGAGGCTTTAGAAGAAACCACAGCTGCAGACTCCTTGATCTTGGACTTATTTCAGTTGCCCAATCTGTGGTATTTTGTTCTGGTAACCTTAGCAAATTCATATACATCCAATTCATTTTCCCTTTTGAGGAAGGGAAGAGTGAAGGTGGAATCACTCATACTCTCACTGGAGGAACTAGGATCTAGACAGAGTGCAGCTGAGGATACAGTGTCCTGTTTGACTGTACATCCTTAGCTATGCTGACAATCAGTCCTCCTCACCAAACAACCTTATCAGCTCCTGCTTGAAAATTTACAGTCAGGTTGACATACTGGAACCTTCTGAGGGGCAAGACCAAGACTGTGGATACTGGACTTTGATAAGAGCACGTGGGCTGGGTTAGTTGGCCAGATGCTGACAAAAATCCCACACCCAGACCAGGAAGATCTGGAACTCTTTGAAAGAGAGAAACAAAAGAAGGCACAAGAAGGAAAATATGTTTTTATGTTTATGAGAAACAGATGTAAATGGGGCTGATACTAGACTTATGGACCAGCAGAAAGCAACTATGTTAAATAGTTGGGGTCTACAGGGAGTGAATGTTAGTCTTGGGGTGGGCCCAGGAAGAGTCCTTGGGTGGAATTCATATACTAGGTGGCTGGGTGGAGGTGATTAGCTCCTGTGCAGGAATATAGATTCTCCCCCTACTCCCCTCTCCTTTGCTCTGCTGGTGAATGAATTCAGGGCTTCATGCATGCTGGGCAAGTGCTCTACCACTGAACTACGTCTCTAAACAAATTCAGTTAAGACTGAATATCAGCTATTGGGTTCCCCTTTCTTCTTCCAGAAAAAAAATACAATTCAATTTTTTTGTAATCAGCTCAAAAAATGGTTAAACCAGCTACTTGTGCATACTCTTTCCTCTCTTCTGCAATGTTGTTTCTAAGTATATTTAAAATCATTTGAGGAAAACACTGATATTTTGTTACTGCACAAAGGTTAGGTTTAGATTACTTAGGTCGCTTTGGATTTTTCTAAGACAGGATCCAGCAAAAGGGATATAAATTTGATTTGCTCTTTCAAGTAAATTCTGGCAAGTGTGTAAAGAAGTTTAAGAGTGTCATAGATGGTCAGGCAGCACAGCAAATGCTCCTGTGCTTTGCCTGCTCCCACACGTACTTTGCAGTTTTGCTTTCTTCTCCCTTGGATTTGATTTGATTTGATCAGTTTGATTTGATATTCTGGAGGAGGGACTAGCATGAGGGATGAGAGGTGGCACAGGGTGAGAGGCAGGGTATTCTGAACCCAATGGGATCAAGGAAACCATCTCCACTGTTCGTTGTGAAGTGTGTCCTCTCCCTCCTCTCCTCTCATAGCAAGAGGGCTTGATCAGTGCTTTGGGGAGGTCTTAGTCCATCTTCTGCTGCTATAACAGCATACCTGGACTAAGTCATCTGTAAAGAAAAGAAATGTATTTCTTATAATTCTAGAGACTGGGAAGTCCACGAGCAAAGGGTTGCATCTGGCAAGGGCCTTCTTGCTGAGTTATGACATGGTGGGAATCATTTGACAAGACAGAACAAATATGGAAGGTCATGTCCATCTTCCTTTTCTATAAAGATGCTGGTCTCATCATGAGGGGACACCATCATGACCTTATCTAATTTAATTACTTCCTAAAGCACCTCCCCCTCCAAGTTACATACCATTAACATTTGAATTTGAAGATCGAGTTTCCAACACATGAGCCTTTGAGGAGTCCATCCCAACCGTGCCAGGAGTGGGTGATAAAGCATATGAATAAAGCTAGTTGTCCACGGACTGTGTCAGTTCTAGTTTCAGTCAGTATCCAGCAGAAGCACTGAGCCTTTGCCGACAGCTAATTTTTTTTGTTCTATCCTGCCAGAAAACTGGGATCTTTGAAGACAGGCAATGGCTCTACCTGCATGAGTAATCAGTGATGGTCACTCAGTCTTGCACAACCCGACTATGGTAGACAAGAAACTGCACCAAGAAAGAAGCCTAGAAAGAACCCAGTGGGAGTGACAAAGGGTTCCTTGCTTAGTCTTCTAAGCTGTCCCTAGAGCCTTCCCCAGGAAGAAAACTAAATAGGATCCGTCTTATTCATGGGACCTCCCAAAGAGTTGTTTGATGATAAGAAAATAATTTCAGATATGTAAACAGGCTGTTTAGCAGAATAGAGATAGATCTTCAATAAGGGAACATTACCTTTCAAATCTGATTAGTTTACACACTTCCTGTGCTTATAGATAGACAGATAGGTCGACAAGATGATCTCTTGAGAATTCTCTCAGATCTATAATACCGTATATTCTCTGGGTTGGGAAATATTCCAATTGTACCATTTGAATTTATGATAAAAGAAATGAGTGACAAGTATCTTTTATTGTGTGCTCTGTAGAAATGTGCACACTCTGTATGCATGCCATATTATAAATCTGCTTGCCTACACATTTATTTTCCAATCCAGGGCAACCCCATGACCATGCATGCTGAATGTCCTAAATAAAGACAATTTTGGAAGACCTGCATGTGTTTCTGTATAGCCTTGGAAAAATTACTTCTTTCAAAACACCAATTTCTTGGGTAATAATTCATTTGAGAGTCTCCCCTAATGGGCTGCACCAGTTCCCTGTGTTAGAAGGGTATGTGAAAAGCTGAAGTTAGGGATGCTTAAATCACCATTTGTTAGAAGATTGTTGGAGAAGCTGCTGTGCTATGGGAACAGTAATCAAAATCCAGAAGGCGGCTGGCAGCATGTTACACCCAGGCACCAGAAGCCAGGGGACTCAGTCCATCTGCCTGGATGTCACCACAGCTGCTGTTTCTTCTATATAAGAACCAGATTCTCATTTAAGGGATACAGCTGAAAAGCACCCTGTCCATTCGTCTTAAACCTTCAAAGAGCATATAAACCACATAGCAACTAGTAAAGGGTAGTGGGGAACAGCAATGACAAAAGCAGAAATAGCAAAATTAGAGTGGAAAAAGAGAGTGAAGAGCTTGCACTGCCATGGGGTAAAGTGAAAAGGGAAAGGTATTCACAAATCAGAAGAGTAGAAAGGAAGGGAAAGTTATTCTAGACAGGATATTGTAGCACAAAGAGGCTGAGAATTATAATTTTAAAAGGCCTGGCCTTTGTTCACCACTCACTAGTTGTTTTATCTTGGGAGTGTTGCTTTGCCTTCTGTTACCTCCAGTTCCTCAGCTGTAAAAACAGAAGAAAAGATAACACAGCAAGCAGCCCTGAGCACCTGCCATGAGCAAACATCTTATATCTACAACTCTGCTTCACTCTTTGTTCAACCACATGTGGGAGGTATTATTGTCCCCATTTTATAGGCAAGGTCCTGGAGACTGAAAGCAAAAGGCAACTTTAAAAACTCTTACAGACATTAAATAATCTGCCCAAGTTCTCATGGCTGGTATCTTGTAAAATGGGAATTTTGACTCCAGATCTGTCTGGATTCTAGCTTCATCCACAGTAAAAGGCAACTCCTCCCCCTCCCTGTAGCACAGAAATGAGACTTTAAAGGGCACAGTGTGTATGAATGAAAGAAAGTATTTCTGACAACTGTGGAAAGCTAAATGGACGTAAAGAATTCTTATGATTAAAGTCAATTCTCACTAGACAAGCCTACAATGAGATAGTGG